AATTTTGCCATATATTTAGAAAAATAAAACTTATTATTTTGATCCAAAATTGAGAGACATATTTCACAGCGAGGTGACAGACAAAATTCGTGTCTTCTATCAAATACCAAATAAACATGAAAATTTTTTACTATCAAAACAGCTTAATTTTGATTCTACCACAACTTTTAATATATTTTATAATCCCTAATTAAGGTAATTAAAAGACACATTTTTATAAACCTATGAAGTTGTGATAACTACACATAGTACCAAAGATTCCAACATTCAACAATAGATTTTCAATACAATATCAAAAACCATCATTTTGCACTGTAAAAAATGGCCTTTATTTTAACATACAACTAACTAACTTGTATCTATTGACTTTCCCATTATATCAAAATCATTATTTATAAACTTTTATTAACATATCTTGGAACCTTGGAACCATATCTTTTTGACTTCATCTAAAAGACTATTCATATTTCCATTTATTTTACACATTTCAATTGCTTTAATTGATAAAGATAAAATTAATTGTAATTGTCCATTATGATTCGAAGACTTTATATCTTTGATAATGCCTTGAGATGGCAAAAAAAGAAGCATTCTCACTTATGAACATGAATTTGAAAGTTCTACCAAGCCATACCAATCGCCGGAATCAACATAAATTTCATTTATTTATAGACTTATAAAAATAAAAATTTTGTTATTTTTTCTCCATTTGTCTGGCCTATGGTTATATAACTGTTTAAAATTTTAGTTAAATTAGATGTATGCGCTTGAAAAAAATTGAAATTGTGAACCACAAAGGTGGATAGAAAGACAACAAAATGGTTATCCATTGACCGAGTTATAAGGCTGTAACAGAAGAAAATATGGTTAAAAATTTTTTACCCAATTTTATTTATTCTTGTTAAAAAATGATGAACATTGTAAGAAAAACAACCACTTAAAATTCCATCTGATCCGCTACACAAAAAGGGAGGAAAGAATTTTGCAAAAATTTTATTCTCCATATTTGACAAAGACCCTCGATTGTCAAAAGGGATAAAGGCCCCTCAAAACTTGACGTACCACATAAGTGGTATGAGAAACAATTTAAAACACAAATTTGAAAGTTATACACACGAAGAACAAATTCGAAAGTTATACATAAGAATGTTAAATCGTAACCGTATTCTACGTACTTAGACACAACGTCGGACCCGTATAGAACCATTACAAAAACACATGACTACTTTATTACAGTAGAATACCTCTCATATTAATTTATAGGCAAAATCACTCCAAAATATTTTAGTTAATGACATTGTAAATTAAAAATAAGTCTATATATTGCAAAACAATCAACGCAGAGATTACAGAAACTATAAAGGAAAGTATAAAACGAAACGAGCGAAAACAGCGAATGAATTCAATGACTCATGGCGTGTGGCGGAGTGGCGTCACTCACTAGAGATTCATCCGTCTTGAGTTAAATCGAGAATCGAGTTGAACTAATTTAAGTTATTCGAAGTGACTTTTAATTACTCGATTTAAGGCTGAAGTTCACGATACTTGAATAAAACAAGCGAACAAATGAAAAACTAATAGCAAGTATGATACGGTATCAAAGTATGATACTGAATCAGGTTATTCATACCACTAATTCTTAAAATGACCTCTGTTATTCAAGATAGGAATAGTTTGAAGACATTCTTAATTATTGTGCCTTTTCCAGCTATTCAAGTCTATCACTAGAATGATATCACTTTAATGTGTGAATTTCGCCAATTAAATCTAATAAATATTTGAAGATTATTATTTAAGACATGCGTAAGCAGTGTTCAAATAATAAAATCGAATCTGTTCTACCATTTCCTAAGATTTACTATTTTAATTTGATAAGTTTAGCAAAACGGTTATTGTATATGCTATCGATACTAAACAAATATAAAACAATTCTAATGCAATTATACAAAAAAAAAATTGTTTAGAGTATAAAATGTTATTTCACTGTAACATCAAATTCAAATATTTTAGTAATAGGAAATGGTGTTTCAGTATCGATTAAAAGTTTGATTTTGTCCATCTAAAACATAACTTTATCTCAACAACTTTTAATGTTATCAATTTGATATTCGGAATAATGTTAGATATTTATTAGGGTTCATTATATTTCAATTGTAGTTAATATTGTTTAATAATGATAATTAACAGAGTTAAATTTAAAAAATAATACATAAAGTCATCATCATCATCAGTAATTGCCACGCTTGACAAGCAGATTAGTAACCACAGTTAGGCTTTGGGCATGTTTTAAAAGGGATGCTGCTGTTCATCCCTCGTCCATTAAATTCTCTTAGTCGCCTCTTACGATACGACACCCACGTGAAAAAAAGCGATGGGCCAGAGAAAAGTAATAGGCTACTGTTACGTATTTTCTTGGGTCCCCACTTGGATTTCAATTTAATATTAAAAGACTTCGAGTACTTAATATGAATCCTTTATTCAATGAACTCATGACGAAGCGAATGGTGTGAGACAAGAGATGTCATAAACAAACGTCGAAAATGACAATACAGAGATCATTTACGAAGCGCATGAACGCTCATAAACGATCCTTTTTTAAACTAATTATAATTTACGACAGCTACCCCTAACGATGGCTTATTCTATGCCGAGATCACATGGGAGATATGTAAATTATTTGTTATAAACCCAAATTGTCATTGTATGGATGTCAGGTCATTAAAACCATTGAAAAAGATGTATGAATATGTAATCGTATGTAAGTGCTTTATAGGGGAGGCCTATATTCAATTGTACACAGTTAACGCTGATATAATATGATGATAATGATAATGTAGCCGTAATTTACGAATTGAGCAAAAAAAAAATGTAATTATATTTAATAGATTGATTTGGTTCTAAAAGTTACATTCAACGTAATAAATAAAAAAATAAGCATAAGCTAATGTATGGTGTAAATATAATAATTAATTACTGTTGATTCCAGATGTAATATTAAAATAAATAAATAATAAATATTTCTTTAATAATTATTAAACCGTCACTTTTTTAGCAACTGAAATTGACTCGAATTATTACGATATATGAAATGAAATTGATTTAACTCTATATGTATTTATATTATGGTCACAACACTATACAGTGTTACGAGTCGACACTTTTGTTAAATTATAAAACTAATATATAAATAAAACTATGCTACCCCTTAGATAACAAAGTAATATAATTTACAGTATCATACAACTATTTATAATATAACACTCAATATACAAAACTTAATATCGATAGGTATCATTAAGTATGTAGTCACCTTACAGTGTAAAATTGTTAATTCCTGTACTGATTTCATAGAATCCACACAAAGGACACACACACACACACAGGTGACACAAACTTATATTTGACTCTATCTAAGAATAAAGAATTAGATAGAAGGAGTGATAAAATTGTCAATTCATAGCAGGCTAGTGTATAGAAAATGTTATACGGTCGTATAACCCTATCAAATTCAGATACAACCTGCTTATTACATATACTTTCTTTATAAACTATGTCGAAGATATTAATAAGTAATGTAAAATTAGTCAATGATAAATAATTGACATATTAAACATTTTCTATACATTAGCCTGCTATAAATTGAGAAGAATAGCAACTGATGTGTGTATCATCCTCTTTTTACTAATTATATTTGCATAAGAAGAAAAGAGGCAATCGTATGATTTACAGTTTTTACCATTCCTTCTATGTAAGTAATTCCTTGTTCTTAGGAATCTATCGTACGACATAGATTAAGGATAACAAATAATTACGTAATCTGTGATCACAACGTCTTTACAATCACAGGATCACAAATTGCATCTATTTATCCTTATATAAACAGTTATGGAAACTCAAAATTGCACGATATTTCTTATCAATCTTTACTTTCAACATATTATATGTTACCTAAAACGATTTTTGCTAACGATCAAATAATCGATGATGCTGTTTCTGTACAGTAAAGGTAGGTACTAAAATTATTATTATGAATTAGTTCCATAACAATACACTTGCTCGCAGATGGCGCTATATGCGAAAGAAAAGAAATTTTTAACCTGTTTTGTGATAGGAGAGCCATGGTGCTACAAAATACCAAATTTTTAACTATTCATTTGTGAAGTATTTATAAGAAATAATAAATACGTTAGATTCCACAATAATAGATGATATTGTAATATTTAATAAACAATTTAATTACAACAAGACAGCTTATGTCTGTGCTTTTTAAACATAGTTTCTCTAATCTGTGGTCGGCAATAAGTGATATATTCCATATATGAATATGTAATCTCAATACTTGTAGATTTTGATATACGAAAATGGAAATTAAAAAATAAAGAAAAATATAGTAAAAGCTCTTTATTCACGCTTCTTTTATCTGTTTTCACTATTCGCGGATTAAAAAATTAAACCTAATTCGCGGCTAAACATTTCTTTATTCACGAATCTTATAGGCGTATGTTAATTAAAAGAATTTGATGTCCTTTGTAAATGCGTTGGTAAATAAACTAATAAAGACAAAAAGTAAAACAGACCTTATTATAACTATGCAAAAAGTATATTGTCAAATGCTGTTCGGCTTTCTATATTCACAGTTTCTGCATTCGCGGGATAAATGAATACCCCGCGAATGCAAAGGTTTTTCTGTACTAGATATTAACTGAAGACAACAGCTGTATGAGATTAGTTCTTTTGTCTTCCCTGCCTGTCTTGCCGTAGGGGAAAATGAAACCAAAAATAAAAAAAAAATAAGATTTGTTCATCTTACAGTATTACTACTGATTAGGCACTATTACATAATTACGAATATTACGAAGTACAAAGATTTTATTAAAATATCATAAAGGGTCGTTTTTTTAATTTAATTGAAATTCTTATTTATTTACAAAAAAGAATAGGTCTTATATATCTAGTAGGTATAGATAGTCAAATTCAAAAGAAATTTTATAATTATAAGAAAGATTTTATTATTATTATTATTTTATTGTTTATAGATAACTTAATTCACAGTTCATCTTTCACCAATTTCAACATTTCGTCGTCATCCTCGCTCCATAGATCAGGGTCGGACGTCATTTGCCCCAACGCCTCCATTCGCCTCTCCATTGTCATTTTATCCAAAATGTGCTCCATTTTCATATGCATACAATCATTGAACACAGAGGCGTATTCGCATATCTCAAAAATGCCTTCCACGACATCACTACATTCAACAATGGCTGTCTTCAATCGCGCCATAACTTCGCTATCTTCACCGTACACAGCTCTATTCACCGCGAGAAGATTCGATTGATCAATCTTATTCTTCTTTATAATCGCATTCCTTTTCAATATACAAGCCACAAAACATTTCCCTTGCATGGTAGTCTGAGGTATTCTCTTCAAAAAACTCTCAACGTCCGTCATTGAAGCTTTTACCTGGCGAGCGCATTCCGTCAAATTTTTCCTAAACGGCTCGACGCCTTCACTCATCGTGTTGATGCGTTCCAAATGTTCGTCCTTTGTGAGCGGTTTGAATGAGATCACGAGATAAAAAGCGGAGGCGAATATTAAAAATATCATAATTGTGACGAAACTCGTGACAGGGCTATGCATTTCGACGCGTTTCGACTCCCGCGGCCTTCTCGCTCTGCTAATCTTCATCCTTTGTGCGAATTCCTATTCCACCGTTTCGCTTAATTGGCTATTATATTTGTACAAATTGTGTATGTATGTGTAAAATACAAACGTGTTACTCTGTTATTGGAAAATTACACGATATTTGCAAGCAATAAACGTTATGCTGTAGTCGATAGTGACTGATAAAACTACTCATGTGTAGAACCTATATACTTACAGTTAATTTTGATCAGTTACTATTATATAAGTAAAAGGAGGTCTACCACGAAGAATAGTGTAATTACTGTAGTGTCATTATATCCACAAAATTTGGGTTTTAAGTAACAAGTTTTTAAAAATAAGTGCGACTATGTCACACTTTAAACTAAGACCATGATAAGAACAGTTTTGGGGAAAAAGCCTTTTTTTGGCTACCAATATACGCTATAAGGTCGATCTCCACGCAATTCTCTCTGGAAACTATCGTGATTGATTCTTGTAGAATTTTTCATGATAGACCGACTGACCTGCCTTCATTCTCATCTATTATCTTATACCAAAGCCCCGCAAATATATACCAATAGCGCCGGCAGAGGTGCCATTCCATTTTCAGCCATTAAAAAAAGGAAACTGTTATGGAAAGCCTAACAATACTTGTAGGCACAATCCGAAACACTCATTCTCGAGTCAATTTAGGAAAGTTCATTTCCTAAATTGGCTTCGATCGAGAATCGAACTAGAGATTCATTTGAGCGGCACTGTATCGCTAACCAATAGAAGGGAGTAGGAATTGACAGTAATGCGACTAGTTGCTTCATTTTACTTACTCATTTAGATCTCCTTTCTCTCCTGATCTGTTATGTTATACAGATCAAACTGTTTGGTAGCTAAGGTGATGAAAATATCTGCGTCACGGGGTTAATGGAAAAAAGAGATGGCCCATTCTATGTCGAAACGACACAGCGTTGATAGGTGAGGGTGAAATCAGATCTGTTGGCTCAATCTGATAAACTGGAGGGAAAAGGGATTGTCAATAATAGGGATTAGCAACCCTATTACTAGCAACACACCCTATCAGGTCGACCTTCTCACGGTTACCCCTGGAAACCATCGTCGTTGATTCATTAGTGAATTTGTCACGTTGGGCTAACTGACCTGCTTCATCGCCACTTATCACCCTCACTGGTGCCCCGCCAATGTATATTCCTTTTTTGACTAGTTTCTTCTTCTCATCTCATTCCGTTATATACATTATATTTCAGTACAGAATTTGCAATTAATAAAACTATAACCCAAAATGACCTTCACCAGATTGGGTTTTTGTTTAATTTTTTTTTTAGATTTTATAAAGCAATTTATGAATAGATACTAAGCATGGGTAATATAGATACCGATTCTATATCTATATATTGGATTACTCTGTACATTGATGGCGGAAAAAAGGTCACCATGCATTTCGATATCGTCCATATCAGTCGGACATCTGTTGTAGAATATTTTAAAAATCTGTTAACAAAAAATAATGTTCGTTATTGGACCAGTAACGAAAATATATAGATATTGCTATATATTCCTCACCCCTAATAGGTACTACTGGGGGGAAAGGGATTGTTAGCAATGGAGTTTGACAGCCCCATTGCTAGCAGTATGCCCTATTAGGTCGACCTCCACGTGATTCCCCCTGGAAACCATCGTGAACAATTCTTGTTGAATTCGTCACGATGGGCTACTGACCTGCTTCATCCTCATCTATCATCCTTCACTGGTGCCCCACCGGAGTACACCAATAGCGCGGGTGGGGTTACCATACCATTATCATCCATTAAAAAAATAGTTACTATAGGGGGGGGGGGGGAAGGAATTCTTAGTAATGTAGATTGAGGGTCCTATTGCCAGCAATATACCCAACCAGGTCGACCTCTCCGTGGTCCCCCCTGGAAACCATCGTGCTGAATTCCAAATGTAGTCATCACGATAGGCTAACGGACCTGTCTTTTTCACTCTCACCTATCATCCCTTAGTGGTGCCCCGCCAGCGCATATCGTTAGCGCAGGCAAGGTTACCATTCCATTGTCATACATTAAAAAAAAATAGATACTATTAATATTTAGGATACTTTTATTATAATTCAAGTGAACTGGTGGTGTAAAATAATACAACTTTTAAGGTATACAGTTTATTCAGGCATTCAATTTCGGTACACATTGTATCTATGTATTTAAATTGTTTTCTATGTTTTATGTATTTAAATCACATTCTTAATCTATACCTTACATAAATATAATTACGAGTAATCACACATCTATGTATCACATTAATGTTCTCTATTTTTAAAAATAGAATAACAAATGACTGTAAATATTAAATCTTATACATACAGCAGAGATTGTTAAATTATGGAATGTCAAGTGAATGCTCACAAGGGCGCGATATTGTTCCACGTACTGTTATTCCACTAAATATTATCTGTGTTAATAGAACATAACAAAAGCGTAAGTAAGTTTTGTTGAAATTGTGTATTACCGCAACATTAATTATTTATTAGTGCTTCTAATGAATGTTGTGAATGACGGTCAGGTTCATTATAACATATTATATGTTTGTTTATAATATCATTAAACTCTGTTGAAATAAACTATACGTGTCTTGTATGTGGAGTCTGTATCTAGGTATACAAAGAACTACCTATTTACCCATAGATGAAGGTTACGTGAAAAAAATTTCGCTTGGAAAAAAGGCGCGAAAACAAAGATACGTATTTTTTTTTTCTTTCTTATGCCACGGCACAAAGTGCATCCGCCAAAAACAAAAAAGATACGTATTTAGGAACGCTTTATAAAAAAAAAAAACTGGAATTACATTGGAATATTTTAAGTATTTCTATTCACACTTCTTCCTACTTATTTATATTCAAATTGATCCCTCGACTTTCATAACTTTAATATTACCGTATTATATCCAGTGTAGGTAAGTACTTATCTATATTGGATATTAGCACTTACCTATCATAAGGTTTTCGAATACCCAAGTAAATGTAACAATTATACACACACACTTAAACCCGAGCCAAATTAGAAATCTTCGTTCCCTGAATTGACTCGATCGTTAATCAAACCTCGGACCTGATAATGCAAACGACGTGCACGACTTCATGGTAATAACACCAGGAACGTTTGATTAAACTAATTTAATTATATCATTAATTATTAAATAAAGAAGAATATGATATTTATAATTATAAAAATAGTAAGTATAAGTGTAAATCAAAATTTAATTAATTCAAGTAAAAAAATTCCTAATGAGTTTTTTTTTTATTTATGTTAACACGACTCGATGTAGACCTATCGTTAACGTCAATTTTATGAAAACTTTAAACTGTCCGTCGACGATAATGTCATATCGTAAATTCGTGAACGTCTACAACCAAGTCCCTTTATAGTCTGCGCAGATGAGAGACTTTTATTGGCAAATACAATTTCCCAATAGAGTGTCTGGGGGGAGGGGGGATTGTTAGTAATGGAGTTTGACAGCCCCATTGCTAGCAATATGCCCTATCAGGTCAACCTCCGCGTGGTTCCCCCTGGAAACCATCGTGAACAATTATCGTTGAATTCGTCACGATGGGCTAACTGACCTGTTTCATCCTCGTCTATCATCCTTCACTGGTGCCCTATCAGCGTGTACCGATAGCGCTGATGGGGTTACTATTTCAATATCACTTATAAAAAAAAAGACGTGTCTAGGAAGGGTATAGTGGTGCGCTTTTTTAATGGATGATAATGGAACGGTAACCCCGTCTGCGCTATCGGTATACGCTGGTGAAGCACCAGTGAGAGATGACAGAAGAGAATGAAGGCGAGTCAGTCAGCCCTTTGTAATTAATTATCCTGGAGTTAACCACGATGGGGTCTTAGGGGAATTGCGTGGAAGTCAATCTAATGGAGTGTATTGCTAGTAATGAAACTCCTGCCTCCTTTAAAATGATCTAAATACGCCAATGATTTTCTCTCTATGTTTGTCTCGTAGTTTGGACTTTTGAGTCTAACGAGAAACAATTTTCGGATTACAGTTTAGGACTGCCATAATAAAATCCATAAACTTGTACCCTACAATGTACTTGTGCAAAAAAGCTTACACAAAGAGAAATTATGTCTATCATCAGACAGGCTATTATACTTTGGAACCTTAGATTTTATAGATAGAGTGTCTCCTTAGAAATGCTTTGAAAAAAAACGGGTCAATTTTTTCATACAATTTTGCGTGATAAATAGTTATCAATGTTTCCTTTATAACTTCTATATTTATTTTGTCTTATAATTTCTGCATCTTTTTAATGCGTGAACACTCATTTTATTTCTCTTTCTTGAAGTCTCTTGAAGATGAAACAATTTTTCTTAATTCGAATTTAATTTAAAATTATTTTAATTTAATTCTATTATTATATCATTCTATGGTAATAATTTAAAATTGCATCTGACTTTAATCTTTAAAAAAATATATGGAAAAATACGGAAGTAAACATTCATTTTTCAAACGGTTTAGAATTAACAACGAACGTATCACATAAAAGATGGCGAAATTCTCTTTTTTTTTTCATGAAAAGTAAATAAAGTATTAGAGCCAGTTATTATTTATACATAAAATTGGATAACACAATCAAAGCTGTGTTGAAATACCTAAATCCGTGAGTAAAGTACCTACGTAAGAAACACGTAATAAATACGGTAATAAACAAAAACTATGCAACAAAGCGCAAACTTGTGTGTCGCAAGATTACTGTTTGTCTACATTTGGAAATACGTTTTAAGTAGTTTAAAGTAATTTCATATTTCTCAAATGTATATGCACTATGCAATATGTACCTATCATGACAGATATGAGCCGAATAAATTATTTTGAAATAGGTTTTTCTATTTGTCGAGTTAAGCAAGTTCTTTTGACTGCCTATAAAAACACACAATTCCCGAATAGGTAACAGGACTAACATAATAAAATAGATTTAACCTGTTTTTGTTATACAAAACAAATTAACTATAATTTTAACATAGCTTTCTGAATGATTACAAAAATATCAAAGTCTTATTAGAACATATTAATGTTTTTCTCGTCAACAACCAAATTAGTAAATTCAATAAAAAAGAATCAAATTGGAAGAAAATTGGATCATAAATTTCGAAAATATACCCAAAAATTGATACCGGATATATATATATATATAAGCCAATGATATCCTATAATCTTTGGTAATTATTATCATGTTAGTTTAGTGAGAAAATACGTCAGTTTGTTGCCAACTTCTATGTAAAGTGATGTAAGCCAAAAATATGTTATTACTTAACGTTGCCCAATTGTATTGTGCAGTAATATTTTGTTAAAACCTTCCTACTATCAAGTTTAGACAGAGGCAATCTACATTTTTCACAGTAACGTGTTTAATTATTACAAATAAATATGTAAATTTTTTAAATTTAATCTTGAATGTAGGTTTATGTCAAGTCCATTTTTAACTAAATTTCATAATCGATGTTCCTAGTGAATGTTTAATAAAACCTCTAACAATAACTTTTTTTATACAACTTAGAATTGCAAACAAGCTGATGGAAAGTGGTAACCGTCGCCTATAGACATGAGCAGAATACCATGGACATAACAGAGTATACTATTTCGCCCATGATGCCCCCCATGCGTTGCCATTCCTGAGGACTCAGGTGTTATATACTCAAGTATATTTTGTAAAGAAAAATATATTAAAAAAATATAGTAATTCGTAATTATTGTAACAATGTGATAATATTGAATGGAACGATCTGTATATGTCTATAATGTCATGTTTAAATTACTGTGTCAATTTTGATTAAATTTGGCAAATATTTAAATACGAGAGTTATCAAACAGAATAGAATATATAATAAGATATATAGTATAAATATCAAACCACATGTGCGTACCTAGTCTGAAAACAATTTATAAAACAGTATGAAAACCTGTAATATACCAGCATAGCTACAGGTAAAAGCTATCAAACTACAGATCTATCTACATTTATACATTATCAATATGTACAAAATATACTGTTGAAATAAGTTATCAGACCTATTTTTACAATATCAACCCGTCAACGAATGAAATGTTAATACCTGACTACCAATATCTAGTTGACAATAATCGAATAAGCTCAATCACAACATTGTTAAGACTAACCTACAATATTTGGTCGTCCACCAATATAACAAGACAGTCATTACTCGAAAATTGAAACGAGACGCGATAACAAAACAATCTACACAAGTATCATCAGCAGACAATCAGCGAGACAACCCAATTCGCGCTGCAGTGACTCACGGCGTCACAATCGCTTTTTATACTCAGGTAAATACATAATCGTTACAGAGAGCACTTTCATGCGCTCACAGATAAAAAAAAAAACTTCGCTTTCACTTTTCGCATCCCATTGCAAAACAAACACAACCTCGTTCCGACGTCTCGCAAATTCGCATAATATATGCGAAGTGCGGATAGACAATCAATCACAGTTACCGATATAATATCGGTTAGGTAACAGTTTTAGCTCTCCTCGCCTTCGACGAGCACCGGCAGACTGGTGTGGTGGTGACAGTGTGGTGAGGAGCGAGCTGTGAACGCAGCCAGCCACGGCTCCACGTCGCGCTCTGAACACAGGAACTTCGCCGATACTGTGTTGTCGTAACCCTTTTGCCTGACAACAAAACCACTGTTGTTCTCATCCCGGTCGACAAACGTGTTCCTCAGGTTGACCACGCCGATGGCCTTTGTTAGTCTCTTTCTCGGATATATAACAGCGAAGTGCTCTAAAGAGGTCCTGTACACGACAACCCTCACGTCCTGCCTCATGCCGCCTGGTCCCAATAGTACCAAAAAGCCAGCCTTAACCTCGGCGTCACTGTTCTTTTTCTTGTTGAAGTTTTCGCCGAAATGTGTACCGCAACACGTAGCTGACATAACGTCGGTTGGCATTTAACTGTTTTGATATTAACAATCACCTATTCTCATAACAATTCCGTTTGAAAGCAATGTTTTCGTCGGCAAAAACCGGTCGCGCGGGGCACGTACACTCTATATGCAATATGAAAGGTACTGAAGAGATATTTTCCGAGCGACCTCTATTTATAACCTCAGAGGGCCGACAGTGTTCGTGCGCTCTCGGTTTTGATCGTTATTTGCATTCACTTCAATGCTCGGAGGCTCTGGATGCTCGTGGGGGCTGGGGCAGACATAAACCAACGAGTTAAGAGGTATGTCTGGGTCAGAATGTAATCATTTTAGGGAGAGTTTCACAACTTATTCGGATTTTATCGAGGTCATATACCTATTTAGAGTTGAAGTTCATCCTTGCAGTCTATCCGGCTGAAACAGTACAATATTAATTATTTGAGTAATTAAAAATATTATAAAATTTCCCCCATACTGTATAGACTCCGTAGAAATTCGTTAAACCTAATATAGGTAGTTAAAGTGAAAAATAGATTATGCAATATTTTAAAGAATACAGCTGATGGTACACAACATTTTTAGTGCATTAAATATAAATAAATTATGCAAATAATTATTCCATAATTGTCATTAAAAATCATAGTTGCTTCGAGGCACAAAAACTATCTTGAAACGCAATGAGGACTGTTTACTGAGAAATTAGCTTTATATTGTTTCTATTTCACCTCAAAAAGAAATTCATGTATCTAAATCTAAAACAACCGTTTAATTAATATGTTAAAAAATAATCACCAATATTTAATATACATTTTTATATATCTTCATTATATCTTATATATGTTATACAATAAATAATATATTATTATATTTATATATAATGCTGATATCTTCTATAAAGTCCAGCTTGTTATTTTAATCCTAGAGTGCTACCTATCGAGTGGTGGCCCCACTGAAAATCAGCGCTGTAGCACCACGCTGCAGCTTACGCTGAGTGGCGACCATTTTAGCTGCTACCACATAATTATTATTTTAATGTATAAAATTGTAATTAATATCTTTTTTAATCAACTTAGAATGGCAAACAAGCTGACGGCCGACCTGATGGAAAGTGGTAACCGTCGCCTATAGACATGAGCAGTACCATGGACATAACAGAATATACTGTTTCGCCCATGATACCCTCCATGCGTTGCCATTCCTGAGGACTCAGGTGTTATTCCTCCGTACCCAGTAAATTTACACCATATCCCACCCTTCAAACCGAAACACAGCCATGCAAACACAACTGCTTTACGATTGAAACACGAATGGGACAGAGGTACCCAAGCAATCGACTTTTGTACAAGGTCTCCCTCTGTAGATGTTTTGTAGCTGAATAAATGATTTATTATTATTTATTACAATATGTAGTGTATTCTACTGTTGATAGTACACAATGTTGACATCGCTTTAAGGTATAATTAGTTCTGCAGTATGATTGGCATAAACTACCCAATTAGCATATAGTGCGCATACGCTTCATAATCATCTCTTGCTATACATCAAAAATGGTCGTATTACGTAGCGCAATAGTTTCCTAATCGCTAAATAGATTTTTAATGATTTTTTTTCTCTGGCAACATTGCCATTTGCGATGCAGTAACAATAACTACAATAAATCTAAATATTATACAATAATTTTGGTTTATATAATTAAATTTGCTCTTTTGATTAATGACGTATCTTGCAATCAATTTGTGATAACCGAAAATTGTTCGATTATGACTCATAAATCTTTATTTTTTAACATATCTTGTATTACGTAAAATCGGATAGCGAGGACACTGCAATAAATATCGATAATTACTACAATTAATTAGTTCTAATCATTGTTTCTGAAAGGAGGAAACATTTATTGCCAACAATAAAAAGAGTTCCACTTTATTAACAATAAAATATAAAGAATATGGTCAGCACAGCGCACGTATTTTTTTTTTTAATAGATGATAATAGAATGGCAACCCCGCCTGCGCTAACGGTATACACTGGCGGGGCACCAGTGAGAGATGATACGTGAGAATGAAAAAGCAATTCAGTTAGTCCATTGTGATGAATTCACCTGGAATTCAGTACGATGGTATCCAGGGAGGACCACGTGGAGATCGACCTAGTTGGATATTGCTAACAATGGGACTGGTAGTCCGCATTATTAACAATCCCCCCTCCCCTGTATACTGTAATTGTATTGCCATATTTTAACCCACCCTTTAAATCAAAACGTAGTCTTACAAACAACTGCTTCACGATATAAAACACGAATAGGACAAAGGCACCCAAGCAGACAACTTTTGAGTTTGAATATAACGTTTCTCCATTTACATCGAAGAAAAAAAATAGTTCAACGATCAAATGCTACATTTTGCGTTTTAATTACTTAACCATATTCTACTCGAGCATGGAAAAATACGAAGTAAATAATAATATCTTTTTTAGAACGTGAGGTAAACAAACTGCCCACTCTAGACGTTGTAGTACTAGTATTATATTATCCAGGGTTGCCAGATGCAATTTACAATTCTTACCCAAATGTAAAATACTTTTTCTCCAAATTAATACGATTTCCAAGACCTTTACACAAAAAAAACCTACCTTCTATTTCTACTTTTGCCTTAGCCTCTCTCCGTCTCTTATCCCATTCTTTGTGTTTTGTTACCTTCATGCATGTGTTTTATTGTATTTTATTTATTATACCTCTATACATTTTACAAATATCAGAACTGACCAAAATAAAAACACCTAAATTTCTCCAAATTCTTTTTTTCGCGAAGTTTTTTTAAAAATTTCATTTCTCCGATATTTCGCGAACATAAAATTTTTTACCTAAAATAGTGACAAAAATATTTAATCTGGCAACGCTGATATCATCTGTGGTCGAACTAAACAACAAAAAATTTTACGAATACCTACTTGTAGTCATACCCGTCAAAAGTGTTTGAACTCGGCGTGGGTTTGAAATTCAAGTACAACAACCTCCTTAAATATATGCTCACGACTGTTATCCCAGACAGGACAGTCAGAGATATTGTAGAGTGTGACAGTTATGTATTTCTATGTACAACTTATTTACAGTTCCCTGAGTGTGGTCCCGGCGTAGAATAGGCCACCCCTTCCTTTCCTGAGGGTGTCGTAAGAGGCGACTACGGGAATTTAATGATCGAGGGATGGACAGCAGTGTCCATCTTAAAACATCACCAAAGCCTAGCTGCAGTTGCTAACCCGCCTGCCAAACTTGGCAACTATTGGGAAAACTGTTCCCCGAATATTCAGTTTAATAGTAAAAAGTGAGTCTCGGTAGATTCTGGAGACAAGGTTAGCGCCCTAATGTAAAAGAAGCATTACCAATTACCAGATCTTTTGTATAATAGTTGTACGCTTGGGTACCTCTGTCCCACCTGTGCTTTTGCAGAAGCACAGGTGGGACAGAGGTACCAGGTAGGTAAAGCAATCGTGCTTAAATGTCTGTTTCGAGTTAAAGGGTGGCATATACCAGTGAAATTACAGGATACAGAGGCTTATTTACCATTCCCAATTATAGATAGAAAGTATCTTTTCCAATTGTATAAAATAATTTAACATTGCGTTACATGAAACGTTAACATTGAAAACAGGCCAGTTAGCCCATCATGATGAATTCATCAGGAATTAACCATGATAGTTTCCAGGGGGAACCGCAAAGAGGTCAACCTGATTGGGTATATTGCTAGCAATGGGATTCTCAATCTCCATTACTAACAATCCCTTTCCCCCCTCAATTCGCTATTTGACAGTCGTAACAATAAAATATGAAATATATTTTATATGGTAGCTTCTAAGTAAACAATAATCATACAGTATGTTTTTTGCATTAAAAAAAAATATTAAAATGTTATTTTTGGAAAATTAATCTGAGTTCATTGTTAATAATGGAGGCTAAGGATCCCATTGCGAGCAATATACCCAACCAGGTCGACCTCCACGTGGTCACCCCTGGTAACCATCGTGCTGAATTCCAAATGTATTCATTCGATGGGCTAACTGACCTGTCTTTTCATTCTCACCTATCATTACTCACTGGTGCCCCGCCAGTGTATACTGTAGCACAGGCGGGGTTACCATTCCATCAACACCCATTAAAAAAAAAACATCAACCGCTACACTTCTACGTTTTTTCATTAGATTATTATTATGTTTTTTATTTAACGAAACATCGGTTAGTGTTGTTTACATTCGAACACACGGCCGTTAAGAGGCTTTTTTTTTTTATAACACAGGGGACAAACGAGCATGCGGCTCACCTGATGATAAGTGACTACCGCCGCCCGCTTTTAAGTCTTTGTAAACTCTAAGGCAGCGTTTGACTATAACCGTATTATAGATAATATAATACTACACTAGACCGCAGTAAGTTTTGGGTACCTCTGTCCCATTCGTGTATCTACTGCGAAGCAGTTGTGTTTGCATGGCTGTGTTTCGGTTTGAAGGGTGGGATATGGCAGTGAATTTACAGGGTACAGAGGAATAACACCCGAGTCCTCAGGAATGGCAACGCATGCGGGATATCATGGGCGAAACAGTATACTCTGTTATGTCCATGGTACTGCTCGTGTCTATAGGCGACGGTTACCAGTTTCCATCAGGTGGGCCGTCAGCTTGTTTGCCATTCTAAGTTGAATAAAAATATATCAATTATATAATATACCTATTTTCACTGTTCTTGTTAAAATATTTCTATAATTTATACAAACGACCGGTTTGGACGACGCGTGTCTTTTTTTATTATTATATTATATAATAATAAAAATAATTATACAATATTATATAACTGAAATTTTAAATAATAATATTATATAATCGAAACCTTTTTTGTTTTTAATTGTCATACATTTTCTTTTATTTTCAATGTTCTTTTTATTCGTAAATCCTTTCTACGTTTGTAGAACTTAAATATAAACCTTCTCGTATCTGATAGTTTTATCAGGTACGAGTAGGTTAATAGAATAGAATAGAAATTTATTATTTAAAAAAAAAACACAAAATTACAAACACAAGATACAGTGGGCCCCACACTAGGCGAGCCTGTATCGTGGGCACCCGACAAAGATTAACAAATCACAATGCGTTATAATAATAAGTAC